ACACACACACAGAGGGTAGAGCCATGCTCAATCCCTTCTCCTCCATTCTCCTCTCAGACTTTTGGGCATGCCCACACAGGCACCCAGCATGATTTTTGAGTCAGTGGTTCTGTGACTGAAACCATAGAGTCAGCTATGTGGGATTCAGCACCTTAACCTCCATGCCACCTGCTGGCCCTGGCTCAATGTTTACTAAACAAAGTTTTAGTGTCTCACCTGGCAGCCACTGGACCCCTCTACCTGAAGGTATCAAGCTACCTTTACATTTAATGTCATCATCTGCCCTTTGGCAACCCTAAAAGGGACTGTAATCTCTTTTTGACTCCTCTCCATAATTCTTTGCTCCTGCTGTTCCCTCTTCAGTGAATGCTGTGGTAAAGGCTATGGGCTGGGGCCAGTAGGTGGCACAGTGGTTAAGGTACTGGATTCCCACATGTCTGACTGTGGTTTGAGTCCTAGACCTGGCGGCTTGAAACAACACCAGGTATGTGTGCGCATGAGTGCCCAAAATCCCCAGAAGAGAATGGAGAAGAAGGGATTGCGGCATAGCCATCCCCTCTGGGGTGTGATTTCTCATTTTGGGGAGCACACATGCCCTATAGCAAAAATCTCTCTTAAAAAAAAAGGGCTGCAGGCTGAAATCCCACCATCCTTTAGGGCCTATCTCAAATGCTACCTCCTCTGCAGAGATTTTCCTCCCAACCGCTTTTCCTCTGCCAGATACATTGTCTCTCTTTTAAGTTCTCACTGAACTTTGTATCCCTCCTGATATAATCACTTTCTTTGAATGTAGCACGTACTGTACATTCCCTTATCATTCCTACAAGTTATAAGATACTTCAAGGAGGGACTTAATCTCTTTTTTTTTTTTTTATCTGCATACTCCTAGCACATTTTCTTGCTTCTTGGACGTCAGTAAGTAGTTGTACAAATCTACTGAAAAAATGTATTTGAGATAAGAAAGGTCAAAATTCCCATGTACGTTTATCAGACATGGTGTAAATCGATGCCCGATTTTGTATATAGTCAGGCACTTCCTAAGGACGTTTTGGTCAACCACGGGTTGGATCGTTGTCCCACAAGATGAGGTTTGTGCCAGTGCGCTTCGGCGTTCCCACAGCAACGACATCGCCTAAGCATGCATTTGGCAGGTCTGTCCCGTTCCTTAGCTGTGCATGATCGTATATAAAAGCAGAGACATACATGTATGTACGTTTATCATTTTATTAAGGTGGCTTTACTCTAGCGTCGAAGGATACCAGAATGTGGGCATTGCTTTTTATTCCTCACTACGCCTAAAAAGTTACTAGCTGTGGCCCAGATGATAATGGGGTGGGTGGGGGGAAGAAAGGCCTCAATCCCTCCATTTGGGGCTTTGCCTGAGAGAGCGCTGCCATGTGCTCCCTGGGGGTCGAGGGACGCCTCTGTTTGAGGCTGTGGAGGAGCCAGGCCTTTAAGAGCCTTCCAGAGACGCCTTAACTCGCGCTGTCAGAGAGCTCGCGGCGTCAGGGCGGGCCGGGATGCGGGGCGCGCACCCGGTTCTCACTCCCGGGGAACCAGGCCGACCAGTTTCCACCGCGGCGTCCCCGCCTCCCGCCTC